TTTAATGTTTATAAAATAAAAAAAAATTTAGAAATCTCAAAATATTTTTTATGTATTTCTATTGGTATTAAATGTTTTCTAGAGTTTTTAGGGTTCATGCACCACTATTGTATTAACATTCAAATATAATAAATATATGAGAAGAAAGTATATGAGAGTGGGTGCACTAGGGATGAGTTTTAGAATCGGACCGATTCGAAACCGGAACCGGTTTTCCTATATTATAAGAACCGGGAACCGGACCGGCGGTTCTAGCATCGGTTCCAGTTCCGGTTCCGGTTTTCCAGTTATTTTTCAAACAAGAACCGGTTGAAATGTTGTAAACGATATTTTATATTCCGGAGCTTGTAAATGGTTCAATATTTTACCAAATTATGACTTTTTACATTCTAAATTGAAGTACAAACACTAAATTACATGATGAAAAAAGAATCAAGTAATTTTGACTTCATATGAGTGAGTTATGCGCATTTTAAAAGCGAGACAGATTAAAAAAAAATGTTGAAACAAAAAATACGCAACATTGATAGGCTGTCTTCCAGGGTCTATAGCTGATTCAATATCTAACCAAAATAGATGTTTCTACAGTCTAAAATGAAGTACAAATACCAAGTTACATGTTGGAAAAAAAAATGAAGTAATTCCGACGTCATATGAATGAGTTATGCACATTTAAAAAACGGAACAAATTAAAAAAAAAACAAAAAAATGTTGAAATAGAAAAAACGCAGCATCGATATTTCTTTCTTTCGGGGCATGTGTCTGATTCAATATCTAACCAAAATACATGTTTGTACAGTCAAAAATGAATTACAAACTCCAAATTACATGTTGGAAAAAAATCAACTAACTCCGACTTCATATGAGTGAGTTATGCGCATTTTAAAAAACGTAAAAAATGTCAAATCGGTTCCGGTTTTTAGAACCAGGACCGGTTTTCATAAAACTTGAGAACCGGTAACCGGACCTTATTTCCGATTCCGATTTCGGTCCGGTTCCAGTTCCGACGGTTCTAATGCTCATCCCTAAAGTGCACCTAATGCGCTACAATTGTATTAGCATTCAAATATAATAATTAAAATTTCTCTAATTTCCCATAGACGTAGCTTGATTATTAATACTTGTCTTGGTTGTTATTATTTGCATTCTATTATTCAATGTTTATAGCTTTATGGTATTTTAATCCAAACAATAATATTTAGTTTACAACTACAACGACCGACTTTCAGATAATTTTGCCAAATACACACAAAATTTCATAGCTAAGTGGACTCACACACCCTATTGGGGTAATGTGAATACATAAAAATATGTACAATATGAATTTATTTGAATGGTAATTATATTTATCGTTATTTTAATTATAAAAATGCTTTTAGAATTTTTTTTTTTTTTTTTTTGGGGGGGGGGGGGGGGGGTACTATTTAGCCAGTATAATTTCGTCTATTGTTCAATCGATTTTTAATAATTTAAAATTAACAATAACTAAACAAAGTAAAATTCCAATTAATTGGTTTCAGATTATTTGATTCCTAGGTAAACCAAGATTTCATGTGTTTTAAGTTAACCAAATGTAGACTAAATTATGTATAATGTACAATAAATTGATTTAAAGTTATAACGGATAATAAATAGAAATACTATTATTGTACAAAGTTAAATTCAAATGAGCAAAATATATTGACAAAGTGGCGAAGCTGTTTCTTTATTAAGTCAACGTGCGATCTCTGATTTTGCAGTAAAACCTAATTGTTGTTCCATTTCCCAACTCAACTTAGCTGCCATTCCTTTGTGATCTGGTACATATTCCTTCACACAAACAAGTTCATAAAACGACAATAATTTTCAATTTGTCCCGAATAAATCAAAATACATTCCTTATGTTCGCAATTATTTTAAACAACATAATATCTTTTTTGTCATAAAAATTTTCTTGTTTGTTTTTTTTTTTTTTTTTTTTTTGTTTTTTTTTTAGCTTTTACTTATAATAAAAGATTTTAATTTATACCTCAAGCTTCGAAATTAGTTCATGGGCAGTTGGAGTAGACACAATAATACTTCGAGCAATGGGTGTGATGAAGCCTTCATCAACAGCCTTGTCTATGAAAGATAATAACGAGTCGTAGTATCCATCCACGTTTAACAATCCTACCTGCACAGGGATTTTTTTTTTTTTTTTTTTTTATATTTGTTAATTTTTCTTAACGATGGAATTTATTTTAATTATATATGCCATAAAATCTTATTTGAAATAAATTAATAAGTTGTTGGTGGATTTTAAATAAACCAACACTTCTAATTGTTACTTTGAAATGAAGTCATGTGATATCCACATATGGTGTAGTCAACATGGACCCAATATGAAAGCAATAATGTGTTATGTCTGTAAATTGTCTTTTTGTGTAGGTTTAGTGAAATTTTATTTTAAAAGAAAAAAAGAGATCAATTCTCAATACAAAAAGGATAATGGAATCCAATCTTAATAACTAATTATAAATGAAAGTTTTGTTTGTTTTTAAAAAATATCAAAAGGTTTTAAAAGATATATTCCATAATCAAAAGTTTTTTTTTTTCTAAATTAAAAAAAGGTTATATATAGACAATTTTATGTATGCAGTATATTTAATTTGTTTAGATGTCTTGGGGTGAAATAATTGTAATAGTCGTAGAAAGTGTGATCCATGTAATTTACAAATATAACAATTTTTAAATATACTAATTACCGGTTTTTCATGGATTCCAAGTTGTGCCCATGTGATAACTTCAAGAAGTTCTTCTAGTGTTCCATAGCCACCTGCAAATAGCAATATTTTAATATTTAATTTCAATTTAATGGACTACATATTAAAAGAAAATTTATCTATAAACGAAAATTCCATGTATTACAATCTCATGTACTATGTCAGTTTCCCGTTGTCTTTTTATTAATGCAAGTTTCTACTGTTAAAAATGTTCTATAAATATTATACCAGGCAAGGCTATAAATGCGTCAGCTTGACGAGCCATTTCAGCTTTTCTTTGGTGCATATCGGACACTGGTCTTACTTCTCCGATAGTTTCTCCGGTGATCTGAAATTCTAAATAACATTTTCTGTTATTATAATTAAAAAATGATAATTAGATTTATTAAAACAATCGAATATAAATCGATTACCTCTTTGGTCATAAGGGACTTAGGTATAACCCTGTCAAAACAAATATCTTCCACGTAAATCCAATAATCTTTGATGACAAGTATTCATGCCTAAATTATAACTTTCTAACAAACTCTTGTCACTTTCGCCATTAAGTATAATTCTTTATGTTATAATACTTGCTTTTTATTTTATAATTAGATATAATTTTTTTATATGTACAAAATAGATGTTTATTTGACTTTTAAAATGAATAAGAATAAGAAAATAATATACCCAATGACGTGGCGACCACCATCGTAAACAGCTTGAGAGATGAGACCCATCAACCCGATGCTTCCTCCTCCGTAGACCAAGTCTATGTTCCTTTCAACCTGCACTTAAATTATTTTGAATTAAATTCGTATTTTTTAGAACAATAATGGATAATAAATCATTATTTTTGGTAGTTCATTTATTCAAGTCCACTAAGCACTATCTAGCATTTCTTTTTAATAACTATAATAATAATAATAATTACAACTATACACTTTCGATTTATATTCAATATTTTAGTTCCATATCTAACAAAAGCATGCAATCCGTGGATTCAGATCAAAATTCTCCACAATAAGAAATGCAAGAAGATCATGCGTACGCAAACTGTGATATATAGTATTATAATTATTGAAACAATCATCATTTTTTAACATCTAACTTAATATAAATACTTATTTTTAATAAAAACATATTTAAAAAAAATATGTCTCATCATTAGGGTGTTAATTTTTGGAGTCGTTTGTATGAAATAGATTTTGATCAATAATTCAATACTATAAGTTTCTCTGTAACTATGTTAATTAAACTCTAATAAACATCATTCAAAAAATATTACAATATTCATGAACAAATAAAATTTCACTTGATGGCTACCGTCAATTCAAGAAACAAGTGAAAAGAGTAGTACCAATTGGTTGCCAAGTTGGACGGCAGCAAGGCGGTAGATGGGGTTCTTGCCGGGGCTGCTACCGCAGAAAACACAAATACGTTTAAATCTTGATGGTTTCACCACCGTTCCCCCGCCTGGTTTGTTGCTTTCCATTTTTGCAAAAACTTCACCTCTTCTTATTTTTTCCCCCAAGTTTGAATAGGAATACAAGCAGAGTTTCTTCCTTGGGGTATACTAGAAAGTGAAGGTNGAGCATAGTACTATATCCGGGAGAAAAAAAATTGGGAAATTTTTTTTGCATCATTAAAATTGAATCATGGATCATAAAAATGATCCATGCTTCAATTTTATTGATCCAAAATTTTTTTTCCAATATTTTTCTCTCCGATGTAGTACTAT